GGGGTCTGTGCAGCACCTGGACCAGTGGGGCTCTGATCCTGGATGGGGGGGGGGTCTGTGCAGGGCCTGGACCAGTGGGGCTCTGATCCCGGTTTTGCAGCTTCCAGCTCAGTGGGCCCCCTAAGCACTACCGTAATGCACCTAACAAGCCCTCCCCTGCTGGGACTACCTTGGCCTGGGCATGGAGCTGGCTTTTGATGATCTCCAGCTCATTCTTCAGGATCTTCTGGGAATCCGGGAGCATCATCTGGATCATCCCTGCCCAGAGTAAAGGTGGCTGGAAGTGAGTGGGGAGCCGGCGCCGGCATGGGGATGGAGCCCGAGGAAGGACTTACAAACGTGCTTCCCTGTGCCATCCTGGCTCTGCACGGGCACAGGGCGCAGATGGGGGGGCACACCACGCTGGGGCTGTTCTCTGCTCCTCGGGGACCACAGGACGTGGCAGAGCACGAGCTAGAGCAGCACCGAGGCTGCTGTCGCTAACACCGGCGCCACGACAAGGCCCCTCCTCAATCCCAAGGCACGCCCTACTCCCCGGCTTGGGACACAGCCCCTCGGCCTGACCCCAGTGGGGACCAGCCCCAGACCAGTCCATCTGCCCCCCTGCTGGGGTCCACCTCGCTTCCTCCTGCCAGGGTCAGGGAGCCACCCCCTCCCCCGGATGGAAAGGGCAGCCCATCCCATGGATTGCTCAGCGGGGGGAGAGAGGGGAGGGTGCACTTGTCTCCCCTCCCCAGGCCTAGTGATCCCCATCCCCACAAAGGATCAGCAAGGCCCCCCCACCCCCCACGGAGATGGATGGTCTCTCACCGTTTGTCTCAAAGGCCTCTGTCTCCAGCTGGCTCTGCAAGGAGGGGGTCAGAAAGTTGCCATCAGCTTTGACCCACAGCACCGCTCTCCCCATTGGCCCCTCGGGGATGATTGTCTAGGCCAGGGGTCTGAGTGCTGGACTCAGCCCATGGGGAGGGGGCTGGGAGAGATTTAGATGTGAATCCTGTGGCCCCCGGAGGGCGAACGGGGACCCCATTCTCATTGATGCCTACCCCCCTTAATTGCTCTGGGAGCTCAGTGGGGGGAAGACGCCCCCCCTTTCCAAGCTACCCCTCTGGGCAGGCGACCTCTCAGCTGCTGTGAAAATGGAGTGGGGGGAGGGGGCACGACATGGCCATTTCTTTGCTTCCCCAGCAGGGCAGGAGTTCGAGCAGCCTCAAGGTTGCTCGCAGTGTCACCGAAGATGGGACTAAGGGCAGCACACTAGAGTTTAGTGCCATCCCGCTCTGTGGGAGCCCCGAACCAGAGCATGGGGCACCTGCGCTCCCCGCTCACAGCGCGCCCTGTAAGCTGAGCACTTGGGCGGCCACCCAGAAGCAATTCAAATAGTGCCCAGTGGATTAACAGAGCACCCGCTATGCCTATAGCCTGTAGCCCGGGTTCTACTGGTGGTGCACATCCACACATGCCTTGGTGCACATAACAAACATTATTCCCCACACAGGTGGGAAAACTTAGAGGGAACATTGCCTGTTAGCTGGCATGTTGGGGGCTCTGGGCTTTCCAGCCATGGGGACCAGGATTCTCTCTGCACCCCCAGCTGCTGGGAGTTGCTTACCAGCCCCGAACTGCCGATGGCCCGTGATAAGAAGTAGCTGGGTGCATTGGCGCTACTCTTGTCCTCCTTGGACGCTGTGAGCAAAGTGATCTGGAAATAAAGGGGGATGGAATTCAGCCCCCCACAACCCCTGCCTGCCTCCCCCTAGGAAAGGGGGGCGGGTCCTGCTTAGTTTGGCAAGGGAAAAGGGATGCAGCTAGGCCCCCAAAAGGCAGGATACCTGGGCCGATGGGCTCCCAGAGGGTGGGATACTAGGGCTGATGGGCCCCTGCTCTGTCCCGGGGCAGTTATCCCTGTACCCCCAGACCTGGGCAGGGTGCCTGGTCCAGCCAGGGGGCAGTGCCCGCCAGGGCTGGGGTGATGAGCTGGGCCAAGGCTCAGCCTGGCTGCTCTGGTACCTTGCTGGCTCGGACCCGCTCCTCCAGCTCCTCCATCGCCCCGGGTCTCTGCCCCACTGCCAGAGGCCCACGTGGTGCCCGAGGGGGCGGGGTCGGACCTATCCCGGCCCCCGCCCCCATGTAACAAAAACAGTCACAAAGAGCAAGGGGCGTGGCTTGCTAGCTCCGCCCTCTAGGATGATGTCATTCCCCTTTCAGTTCTTATTGGCCTGGAGCTCCCCTGGCGAAGCGACTGGGTAGGAGCCGATGGTGCAGTTTCTTAGTGTA